GGTCAACCATGCCACACTAACACTAATGTATGTTTCCCAATAGCCGATCCTATATCTATGCACAAAATGGCTGCTCTTTGTCCCCATCACCCATACCTTATTTATATATAATCACTAATTTAAACACATTATAACTACCTGAAGTATTGAGCATAGCAGAAGAACTACTAGTATCATGTGATAGAGCCTCAGAATGATTATCTTTTTAAACTAAATCGGCGAGTAAATGAGACAGCAGTTCCAGCGCCTTCTTTTAGTGCCTAAAGACCCCTTAACTCGATCAAGCCTAACTAGAACTGGTCCTTGTCTTCTTTGAGAGTAAAATGGAAGTCCATTTGGTACCAAAACCCCTCTCTGCCTGCGTTTTTCCTTGAAGAAGCAACACCATCTAGAGCCGACATTTTTACACGTGAATAAAACGGAAGCCACCATGCCCAGGGCCCCGCCTTTTATACCGCACCTTCTCGTTTAACCTCAACGCCTAAATGAGATGGTCAGGGAAGGTAAGATTGACACACGGGGCTTTGAGCAAGTGCAGAATCTCTTTTCCTGACCTAGATTATACCCTTCCAGATATTATAGTCTCAAAATAAATTAGATATGTCAACCTAAAGCCTAAATCTGTTGATAAATTACCTTTTTCTTAGTCTCCTGTCCTCCATTGCCTTCATTTCACTGCAAGGTGTAGATGTGTAGTAGTACTGAGCATGCTCATCGGCACACGCCTTTGACATGCCCACTCATTATCACACATGTTGATAACACCCCCGCTAAAGGATACGTTGAATTTGTATGACCTCACCCTTGGGCCTGTGGACCTCGGGCTCGGTCATACAATTGCGATGTATCCCTAGTGCGGGTATTATAACGTTTCCTGATGAGACTACTCTTGTGAATACAAAACTTAACTGCTCTACCTGGACCTGTTCCTCTTAAGTATATCCTTCAGCTCAATCATCTGTTTTTCTTCCTGAAGAGTCTAAAGGAACACTCCACTAGTTTTGATATTTTGGACTATGTGTCATTTTGTGTAGGCAAGATCAGATCTTTAACTTTCACAAATTAAAGCATACCTACACTCCAGATGTTATCTAGATTTTTTGACTTTAACCGGCTTCTTGTTTTCAATAATTCTCTTCCCCCTCTCAATCTTTCACTATCTTTCTCTACATTAAAGTCCATTATTAAATCTTATTTTTATGAACATTCTCTAAATAAGTTTAACCCTTGTAATCCATGTACCTTTCATGTATGTTGTCACTGTGCCAAATGTTATATTTCTAAACCCTCTGTTTTTTAATTTTCATAGTATGTGTATTTATTTCTTTTTTCTTTCCTTCCTTTTTTCCTATTCCACTCCTTCCCTTCCTCTACTCTTCTACCATATTACTTAATAGAGGCTGCTTTCTTTCAGTCCTTCAGCACTTTCGCAACCTTTTTGTTTCCTGTTGGTTAAGTGTTTTATCATTGTATATTTTGTATGCTCTGTATAGTTGTGTAATAATAATCATAGTAATTTATACACATAGAAAACACCGACAAGTATACTCGTCGGTAGGGATGGGCGATGTGTCAAAGTGATCGATATTTTATTGATATTTGCAGATATTGATAGTAACCTTTTTAAACAGGCTGTTTGATATGATAACCACACCCATTTATTACAATTAACTAGCCATTCTTATTAATTATTACTTTATTAATAATTAGCCATGAGCACCTATTTATTTCAGTTAATTAAATTTTAAAAAATTAAAAAGTTTTATATTTCGTCAGTGGACTACTAGACAATCACTGTGGTCTATACTGCAGCTACAGTCTATTGTGAAGTTTTAGTCTTGTACTAACAGCTAGATAAGATTTAAATTCATTAGCTACTGTAGCTACTCCATAAACAAGCTATGGCTTCGTCATTTTCTAGTCAAGAACTCAGTTCAGAGCCCAACTCATCTCATGCGACACTAGAACTAGAAGCTGGTACATTTAAGTACCCATCAAAGTACCCTGCCATTTAACTTAGCGAGGCAAAGTAAAAAAAGAAGTGTATCTTGGTTAAACGACTCAACAGTAACATCAGATGATAAGACTGCCCAGTGTAACTTGTGTGGAGCAAAGTAAAAACATTTTGAAATACTACAAATATAATGATAGTACTTGTATACATAAGGCACCATATCTGTAGCATTTGAAAAGATACCATGAATCTCAACATGCAGCTGTCATATGTAGCAAAAAAAGTGACACAAAATCCATGAAAAAAGCGCACTGAATTAGCACGGAGCCAGTTAATACTATCCGGTTTCATTAACTGAACAGCAGGATATCCTAGTATGGAATTAGAAAAGAAATAAAAAAAATTCTATTAAATAATAAAGTACGGTTGTCAAAAAGTAAAAGAAACAATGGGGTTGAGTTCAACCATAATAATAATTAATACCGTAGGACAACTAATTTTCGCGAATACTAATAAAAATTTTCATGGAAACGATTAGATAGTTACTATGACAATTGACCACATGTTTACATTAGGAGGGAAGGTATCTCAGCTGTGAAAATCATTAATACAGCACTATGTTTGATGTATCTAGCGGTATTTATGGTCTTCATGTTTACAAAAATATATGGGAGCTTTGTATAGGTGAGGAGCTGGTGTGTAGCCCACAAATGAACAACCCTCATGACTGTTATGCAGTAGCTGTATGCAAGTCAGGTACCATAGTGGGACATGTCCCAAAAATGATGGCAAGACTATGCTGGTTGTATTTAAACAAATCTGGTACAGTAATAAAATGTTTTGTAAAGGGTACTAGAAGGTTCTCGAGTGATTTGGTTCAAGGTGGTCTTGAGGTATTTTGCAGACTTATGATTATAGGAGGAAGTCATGAACAAATTGCCAAAGTTGCAGATCTTTTAAGAAGCACTGATAGCAGTGTCTGCTCTAATGTCACTGAAGAACAGTACAATAAGTGTAATTCAATGCCAGTATTATATAATTGTTTGTTTTGTACATAGGTAAACTCTTTCTTTCTCTCTGAACAATATCTTGCTCTTCGGAGTGATGATAAAAGATCAATGGAATCTCGCTCTTTGGAGTGATGATAAATGATCAATAGAATCTCTCTGTTTGGAGTGCTGATAGAAGATCAATAGAATCTCGCTCTTCGGAGTGATAAAAGATGAATAGAATCTCTCGCCCTTTAGAGTGATGACATTATGTATATCAACTATACACATAATTAAATTAATATTATTTGATACATCTATGCAATCACTGTATCTGCCGTAGTTTCATTTAATAAAAATAATTATTTTATTTATGAAAAAAATTACCACTTTTTATTAATTGTATTTTTGGGTGTCAGGACTGTCCCTCAACAAAGCTTTATTCTCCACTCCTTAGTTGTCCTGCCTATTGCTCTCTATTGCTTTTTACAGCACCGGTGTACTGTTAAGTCCTCTAAAATAGTCAATAATGTTTTAATTTTTGGCACAATTATTTTTAATAAAAATGGCTGAAGGTTTGTGGCAAACAGAATCTGAGATGAATCTCCTTTTGGATGTAAGTATTTCTTTTGAAACTTACTTCTTCAGTTACATTTCTTTACTTGCACAGGATGAGACAGAGGATTTTCCACAAAAAGATGGCAATTCTGCCAATTTGCCACCCCCACCTGCTCATCAGCCTCCTCATGGTCAAGCTGGTTCTCCTCTCCAGGGTGGTAGAGATGCAGGAATAGGTGGTGAAGTTGGTCATCATCACAATTATGTATGTGGTGGCGATGACAACCAAGCTGATGGAGGAGCTGTAGAGCCACAGCTGGGACGGGGAAGAGGCAGGGGAGTTGGACAAGGTAGGGGAGGTGGAAGAGGAGAATGTAGGAAAGGTTGACATGGACTAGGTTGTGGAAGGTGGAGAGGAAGAGGACAAGGAAGAGGGAGGGGATTTTGGAGCCAACGAGGCCAGTGAAGAGAAGACACCCACACAGCAAATGATTTGGAACTGCTCCTCAAAATACTTAGTTTTATTATAAATAATAGTAATAGACGTAATTACAGATATAGATATTAAGTTAAAAATAGGCCTATTTATTTATTAATTTTATTTATTACTACTGTACATGTACATTATAATTATAATTCTTTTAAACCATATTTTTAAGCCATATTTTAAGCCATATTTTTAGTTCTGTACTATAGTATTTTTTTAAGATATCATTTATTATTATTTATTGAACAAAAATGAACTACTTTAACAGTACCAACTAGAAAATTTGGAGTAAAATTGTGGAGACTTTGGTATAATAAATGTCCTTACTGGCTAAACAAACTGTGGGGAGTATGCTTACTTCACAAAGGCATGTCAAATTGGGGTCCATGTATTGCCAAAAATTTAGCAGCAGCAGCATGCACAATTGTTAAAAGCCTTCAACACTTCAAATTTTCTAGCTATACAGTACAATTCAAACATATCATCATACATATAAATATAAAACATAATACACAAAATAAGTATCATCACTCTGTAGAGTGTGATTAATAGTGATCTTGTATCATCACTCCGAAGAGCGTGATTGATATTAATCTTGTATCATCACTTCTAAGAGCGCAATTAATATTGATCTTGTATCATCACTCAGAACAGCTTAATAAATATTGATCTCGTATCATCACTCCAAAGAGCATGATTATTGTTGATCTTGTATCACTCCGAAGAGCATGATTTGTTCATAGAGAGAGAGAAATGCATGTACATACATTATACACACATCTAGTCTGAGACATTCTTACAAATACGTAAATCATACAATCCCATCACACATAACACACATTATAAACACAATAATTATATGTACTGTACGTAAATACATTAAATTTATATGCGATTAGGAATCTCCCTTCAATGAGTGAGATTTTACTTCTGGGCCCACCTTCCATCCCTAATCTCAATTCCATTATTATCAATAGAATCAAGAGTTTTATATTTTTTTGTACTATGTACCACAACAGTTTTGTGGTTTTCATTATTACTATACTGTAATAATTATCTCTGACTTTCCCAGAAGACACATCATGATCAAGTGATCAAGTACGTGTATAAATTTGTATTTTTCTACATGTACATGTATAATAGATTATTATGTAACACATATGTCTGCTGATCTCAACCCATTTTTAAGTATATCTGGATTGGCTTGCATATAGTTGTAAAACAATTGAAGCCATTGTGCCCCAAGAGGCTTCATGGTAGAAAGCTTTTGGTGTAATGTCTGGCTAGGGTTTTGAGTGTTTTCAAAGGCTTCACATACTTTAAGTGAGTACCACTCCATGAACTTGTTCCTCATGAAGTCCTTGCAAGGTTTGTTCACCTAAATGTCCAATGGCTCTAGCCTATCGGTACAATTTGGTGGCACATGTACCAAATGAATGTTATTTTCCATTAAGAGGTCAATGGTAGACTGGCACATCTGACCTTTAAAACCATCAAAAATGACCAAGGCTGGCTGTGGAGATGCGACACGGCTTTGTGGTATTTGGGACCTAATCTTCTCAATGTATGGCACAATGACATTAGTAATGTAGTCCTTCATTGTGCTTTCATTTGCCCAGTGGTTTTCAAAGTGGGTAATGTGCCAGTCTGCTGGGAAAGTAACACCATTTGAGTGACAAGCAGAAGTTTTCCCAGTATAAATTAATTGGGGTGGTATAAAAAATCTCCATTGAGTGATGCTCCAAATACAGCGGTGATTTGTCTCTTATCACCCAAACCCACAATTTCTACGTGTCTCAAACCAGATGGAGCCATAGTCCAGGATGACCCACGCAAAATAGATATTCCTTTCTGGTTCCAATTGATAGTCAATTGACTAGGAATATCCTCCACTCCCACTGCCATCTTTATATCGGAAAGGAAATTTTGTTTTAAACATTCAAAGGTGTCACCAAGTACATGGACTTCTGCTGAACCTCTTCGTTTAACAAACTTCATCCAATGCAGAATTGATTCTGCCCAGTGTTTTGTGAGGTTCATTTGGCCACCAAATTCCTTAAGAATTTGTTCTGTCTCATTACGACACCTTTACCAATTGCAATGACAGTTGATTTTGTCATAACTGCTCCATTGTTTTTTGTGCCCTGATGAAGTCCTGTACTTCACAGTCCATGTCTTCCCCAGGACAAAACACCTACCTTGCCTTCCTTTTGGCAGTGAAGTTACTGTGGAGTCTTCATTGTCACAAGCCTCTTCATATTTTCTCTTGATACCCCTCACAGTGCTCTCATTAACTTTATTTTATTTGGCAGCTTCAGTTTTACCATGCTCAATGGCAAATGCACTAATAGCAGCACGTTCTTCATCTGTTAGCTTCTTGAAAGGAACTAAACCTCCTCGTTGCTGCAAATCATTGCCGGCCAAGATGCTAAACTAACCACACCTATTAAAGTCAACAAAACACGGGTGTTTTAACTGGACATTTAGTTTATAAATAGAATAGTTGCGGTAGGTACAACATTGGTTAGTGAGGTGTGACCATTAATCATCACAAAAGAGAAGAGTATTGCTAAGGACATTACTCCAAAGTACTAGCTGCTATGACAGTACTACATTCCATAGACCTATAAGGTATCCTAGGACACCCCTGGCTCATGTGCGCATATATAATATGTACTGTGAGTAACTGCGCATTGAGCTAAAGCAGCTGCCTAAAATAAACTCATTTCAGCTGATGGTTTTGAGTGGACTTCTTGGCTTTAGGAAAGTTTTTTCAATTGTAACTATTATCCAAAACTGAAGATCAAAGGTAGTACATTGTAACAAAATATAATTTAGCATGCCACTTTTTTTGCTAACAAAATATATAGCACTCAAAATGACAAATGAATGATTGTTAGAGAAGCTCTGTCGCCTTTGTGGTAGAAATAATAGGTCAGTACAGTGTGTCTTGCTGTTTCACAAAGTTCAAAGAACCATTGCAAGAAGAATTTGCAATAGGTATCTAGCAGAATAGTGACGAAGTCCATCCAAAGTGTTTTAGTGATTGATGCTATGCTATTTTGTAGAGAAAGATAAAAGAGCCAAGGACAGAAGAGTAATGCTTACTTCTATCAATCTAGTAGAGTGGAGGGAGCATAAGCTGTGAGACATCAGACATGCCAAAAGTACTAGAATGTATGAAGGTTTGGAGGCGGAATATAGGGAGGAGAGTGGGACGAATAGAGGAAAAAAGAGAGGAAAACCTTAAATAAAATAGTTTTAATGGCATAATTGAACACATAAAGAAAATAGAGTCACCTTTGTAATATAACAGCCCAGACTTCTTTACTTTCAAATAAGTAAACCTCACTGAAGAATTATATACATGTAACATTGTTGTCAAATCTATTAAACTATCCCATTTACCCATTTAACCTCTTAATGTCACTCTTGAACTCTGTATTAATGAAAAGAAAGGCAAAAGCCCCTCCCTTAAGAACATGTCCATAAATACCTTTAGCTCCAGGTGGCCACATACCATTACACTGTTTACTCGGGTATGGTAACAGACAAAAACATGGCAGTACAGCAACAGTCTACTTGAAAAGGGGTTACATAAGGCTACCTTATGAGTAGTTTCTTACTTCAGAGAAAACCTTCAGTTAGCTAAAAGACTCATGTGTAAGTTCCACCCTTTTTGATCCATAACTTTTGACCAGAAAGTCTTAGTAACGTGGAACAAGAGCTACTTGAAGCTCTCGTTTTGCTAAAACAAATAGACTCCATTTTGACCCTGTAGCTCCACCACAAGATAGTAAAAAATCTATTTAAAAGGTTGTTATGCACAGTGTCACCATGGCAACCATAAAATTTCAAAATTTCTCTGCGCAAACTAAATGTCCAAGAATAATTCATTTGAAACACCCGTGAAAATGGGTTGAAAGTCCAGAGATAAGCAGACGCAACTGAAGAAAGAACTAGTTTTAGCAGCTTCAAAGAGACCAACGATTAGTAACAACAAGAAGAACACTACAGCCGGGCGCTCGTACTTCAAAATCACGTCCTTTTCAATTAAAATCGCATCTGTGTATATATGGTAATTATGGTTGCTATTGGTTAGCATTTGCAAAAATTAGTCGTCCTACGGTAGTTCAATTAATAATAATAAACATGAATTAATAAAAAATTAATTCATTCATATCATAATACAAAAATTTGAAACCCTACTTTGCAGAAAATGATGATAGACAGACCACAACATGAAGACAATTTAAACTATAATTATAACTCTGTATCTATCGATTGCTCCACTACGTTTCTACGATGTAAATTTTCTTGATAAATATAAATAAGACTCTTTCGCTTGTATTGATTAAATAAATTACTGTCATCACAATTTAAAAATCTAAATTATGGATAATTATTTGGCTAATGCATTCTTTAATTTTGTAACTCAGTACAATATCAAAAAAGTAAAATGTTATTGTATGTCTTTTTAAGGAATTGTTATTGGAATCGCTACGCTTGTGTAGGCTGGAACTAAGCAGTTTGATTATCATACCTTCACTAAAGTTTGTCATTTTAAAGCCGGAGCAATACTACTTCATAGAATTCTGCAAAGTAGGATTTGAAATTTTTTTAAAATTTTTATGTATAAATTATTTTTTTATTAATTAACGTTTATTATTATTAATTGGACTATTAATTATTATTATGATTGACTAAACCCCCTTGTTTCTTTTATATTTTGACAACACTACTCTTTCTTATTGAATAGAAAATTTTTCATTTTCTTGTTTCCATGCTTTTTATTAAACTTCGTTAATTAATAATCCTTTTTATTGATAATTATAATTTTTTCCTTAGGCATCAGTTCATTACTGCTAGGAATAAATTTTGAAATAAGAACCATAAGAGTTTACAGTATTATAAAAACAGCTGTGATACAATCATTATTTTTCAGTTTTTGAATCATTAATTGTATTCATAGCCTAGCTCATAATTTATTAATCATTATCGACAACACATAAAATCAATTTCCTTTATTTAAACTATTTCAGTTTACATTCAGCTTCGGTTGCCATTTTTGCACTCACATCTCTCAAACAATTCCACAGTTTTCTTGTGAAAAAGAAGCAAGTCAGTTCACTTATAAACTTACATTAGCTATCATTTTGTCATCTTATAGTTTATGGATTATGTGAACATCATAGAGGTCCTGCTCCACCACCACCACCACCAGTAGATGGTGGGCCTCAACCACCATCCGGACCACCACCACAAGATGATGCTGGTCCTCCCCGTCCTCCACCACCACCACCAATTCCTCCACCACCTGTAGTAGCTGGAAGTCCTCCATTAGTTGCTGGTGGTCCTCCACCAGTGGCTGGATGTCTTCCACTCCTGGCTGGAGGTCCACTAACAGTTGCTGGTTGTCCTCCACTTCTTGCTAGAGGTCCGCCACCAGTTGCTGCAGGTCCTCTGCCACTTCCCCCTGCTGCTCCAGGACTCCATCCAGTTGGAGATGATGCTGCTCTGGAAAGGCATAAACAAATTGTGATATGGCAACCTCGCCAATTGAATAGACAAATTGTTGTACTATAAAAAAATGAAATAGAGTGATGGTTAATTGATGTGTATAAAAACTGCAGGTTATAACTCAAAAAAATTTACAAAGTTCCAAGAGCCAGGAGAAAAGCCAGGGGCAAGAGGAATAGTTACGCTAATACAACAAAGAACTATAATTACTTATATGTACACGTATAAGTTAACTTTTTAAATTGAAAAATTTAGAACAGTGAAATATCTTTAAGCGTAAAGCCAAAACTGAAATTATAAAAGCAATGCTTAAAATTAGTGTTTGTTCAACAATGCAAAACAATTCGATACTTCAGCTTTAATATGGCTACCATACAAATACATGTTATGTACATTACTTAATTATATTAACTAGTAAAGTAAATGCTTACTGTGGCCATGGTTAATCAGGTAATCAACATTAATCGTCAAAAAGAATCATAGCCTTTGATCATAATCTGTAACACAATAATAAGACACTGGAATCTCACAACATTCTACATGTATCTTACTACATATTTCATTGCTAAGACAATGACAATGGAAACATGCATGCAGTTGAAAACTTGTGCCTCCTGCAGTGTGGTACAATCATTAAACAAATATACAGTATGTAACCTAGAATCATAACCTATAACAAAGTACATAAGACATCTCACAATACTCTCCATCTTACTACATATTCCTTTGCACAGTAGCATATAACCTATACCGATATAAACTGGCACCTCCTACCATGTGATACAACTACTAATCTAGGAGCTACAACAAAACATTAAGTTACATTCAATAAATAAATTTACTTATAACAATCTAAATACAGAATTGCCTTTCATTATATTGCACATTCCAAAAGTATTGCCGAATCAGCAAATCATTTCCAGCTGTAATTACCTGTAAAGCATAGTGATAGAAACAAATCAAAAGCAAGCAATGTACACTCACAGGCTAATTTTGTATGTGTAGAAAATTTCGAGGGTATAAAATTTCGTGTTTTAGTCAAAAGCTCTCAATTCTTTAATTTTGAGGGGTTTAAGTTTCTCGCATTTGCATGTGCACTTGCATTGAGTCATTGATTTTTTCATGCTGCACATACATTTCCAAGGTATTAACTTTTGTAGCTGAGAAGTCACCGACAAAATACGAGAAATTTAATACATCACAACATTTTATACCTGTACAGTAATAACAATAGCACAAACAGTAATGGTGAACAAACTTTATTACCAATCACATCAAACTTCAAATTTTAGCACCACATTTTAGTCATTGTGCCAAGCAAGTACCTGTATAATGTATGAATGTGACATACTAACTAATAAAGATAATGGTAGCATCTACAATGTTTCTGATTGGATCATACATGTATGTGCATGCATGTATTTCAGACATAATATTGCTTACTAATGCTATCCTCAGTTAAGTTACTTTCATGACCTGAATCATTGTGTACATGAAGAATTTCCAATGTGCCAACAATATTTTTCATTAATGAGAACATGCACGTTACAACAATCATCAATAAAAGATGCACAACATCAGCTGGCAAGCATATAATATGTGCAAAGAACTGATGGCAGCATCATTCAAATGAGCAACATCCGCTGGCAGGCATTAACTTAATAATGCGCACAGCATTAATGGCAGCATTAACATGCATGATGACCATTATTATACATACAGAATCACTGCTTGAAAAATATTACATGTATAAAAACAATTTTTAATGTTACTGAATAATTTTTATTGTCAGGACTTCAAAATTTTTTAGAATTCATAAGCACCTCTTATTTGTAATAAACATGTAGTACAAGCCACAAACAAGATCCAGATTTTATAATGACAGTTTCCTCTCTTCCTAACCCTCTGTCCTACATAAATGATAGTCACACAAATTTGAATCAATGCCAGTACACCTCTTTCACACCCTCCTGTCCATTATAGCAACAAGTAATCGATATTCACTGTCTTACATTGACAAATCTCACTTCCTGAATTGAGTTAGATCCCTTTGTACTGAGCAATACTGGGTGGATATGCACCACTGGTTTTCACACACACTCACAAATCATTCACATTGCACATGTACTGACAAACAAGTCACATTAAACAACCAATGTTTTTAAGATGATGGACCTCCCATTCACCGTACCAACTTTCCACTAACAATCAATGCTTAAGAAATATTAATGGACTTAACTGCTTGGAAATGATTAGCACCCACATGCTTCAAATACAAAGAAGGTGTATTAGTATCACAAGGAATGTCATATAAAGTTAGGTTTCCACATCTAGCCCATCCAACAAAAGTAGCAGTAAGTGAAGTGAATATATGGATATATCTAACATTGCAGTAAGTGTAATAATCTCTGTGTCAGTGGCCCACACATAATTTCTATACATTATGGACTTATTAATGTAATCAGATCTGCTTGAATATCTGTTGGCACTTAATGTACTATTAAAAATTCTTCAAAGTGTGGCATATTGCTACATCACAGTTACTCAGGAATCTCAGCCGACAGATTCTACTTCTAGTTCTAGTTCTTCACTTCCAGATGACATAGCAAAAGATAACTCCAGTCTAGTACAGCCAGAAGGAACATTTCCTTCTAAACGATATGAAGTGTGAATAGTTCTTTTCAATCCAGCTGGTATAAGGACTATATACCCCTGGCTTCAATAGTTCATATCAAAGGATTGCATTTATTGTCTTCCTTTCTGCTTTTTTATTGTGAATGGGGATAAGTCATTTACTTCTACAGGCTACTCTAATTGGAAGTGCGCTCGAGGTAAAGAAACAGGCGTTCAAGTACACCAAATGTCATCAAAGCTTAAGGATGCTACTCTTTCATGAAGGCCAAACTACATTAGCTAATGACTCTTCAATTGTTAATCAGTTGGAAGTAGGCATATTGAAGAAAGTAGAAAAGAATAGAGAGTATGTTAGGCATCTGTTGGAGGGATATTGTTTTGTAGCCTGCAAGGTTTAGCTTTATGTGGCCATCATGAAGTCCACAATGCTGAAGATTCTATCAGTGTTCGCAACTTTAAAAGCATTGTTCAGCTACAGTCACGCCAAATTCCGCTTCTGCAACAGAGGATACAGTCTGGCCCAAAGAATGCCACACAGTTAGGTCAAAATTACCAAAATAGCATGACATCAGTACTTGCAGGAAAGGTGATGGAATACATTGTCTCAGAGATTAAATCAGCTATTTACTATACTCCAAATGTTGATGAAACGATGGACATATCCAAAGGGAACAGCTGGTGCTAGTACTGAGATATATAATGGATGAATGTGTTCATGAGGGTTTCATATTATATACAAAATGTGACGAGCTAAAT